TGAGACTATGGCCCCTAGCTGCCCTTTAGATCTGGAATTGAACCCACACCTGTGGTTTCCAGCCAAACAAAAGACAGGAATATGAGTTGAACATTTACCTCAAGTAGATACACGCCTTGGAGAGAACAATCATGGGAGAAAGAAGGGCCGCTTATGCACAGGGAGACAGCTCAGGGTGCAGGAGAGTATAGAGGGATGGACACTGGGAAGAGGTAACTATGGGAGGAAGTGGGAGGGGAACTGTTGTATTGTGGTAAGCTGTGGTCAATGTCATGAGACAAAGTATATGTGAACCTCTGTATGGAAAGTAAATTTGCTCTGTAAACCTTTACCCAAATCACAATAAAAAAGAAAAAAAAGAAAAGAAAAGAAATATAAATAGAAAAAGAGGGGGCAAATCTCCTACAATATCTGAGGAGGGAGTATTAAGTGAAAAGACCTACAGTAAAAGAATAATAAAGAAAAAAATAAGAAAAATGAGAAAATGAAAACCATAGATGGGAAGAACCAAAAGAAAGAAAAAAGATTGGAATAAGGAAAAGGGAAAAGGAAGGGAAGACAAAAAAAAAAAAAAAAAAAAAACCTAGAACCTGTGAAGGGAAGGAAAAGAATTAAAATTAAAATTTAAAAAAAAGGCTAATTTAAAACCAAACAAACAAAAAATTCAGGGGTGGCAGGGCAGGGCACCTAAGCCCCAGCAGAGCACAAAGACTGGGATAGAATTCCTGCTGGTCCAGAAGGTGGGTGGAGGTGGGGTATGGCTGCTCTTCCTTTTACCAAGAGGTTGTGGAGGATAAGAGTAACAAAGGGAATAGCACACCTTTCCAGTCTTCAGCCTCCAGTGTGGTGGCCTGTGCTGTCCTTTCCTAGCAGAACTTATTCTCAGGTTGCTGGGATTAGAATGATCCTGGTTTAAATATCCAAAATGGCCATACCGCTTGTGAACATTCAAAATGGCTGCACCCTCTGGACAACTGAAAGTCCACAGCTCAATTTGCCTCCTTCTTTGCTGTTTCCCTTTTCAGTTGTCAGTCACCTGTGCAGTTATTCATGCAGCCCTTGGCAAGCAGGGCTTATTTTTAGGTTATTGCCCAGGTCTTAATACCACTTGTAATATTCAAATTGGCCGCACCATCAGGAAAGCTGACAGTCTGCAGCTCCATTTGTCTCCTTACTCACTGTTTTCATTGAGATCCTTCTACTAGTTGGTATTTAATCCACCTCTGTATCCTTCCTTTCAAAGCTCATGGCTCTAGGACTATCTTCTGTACCTGTGTCAATTGGTTTCTCTTTTCTTTGTTGAAGAGCGTCTGTGTAGCTTGTCCGTCTATTCTGCCATCTTACCAGAAGGCTCTCCAATAATATCAGAGCATTATTTAAAAATGATCAGGATTAACTAATTTGAAAATAAAAACAAAAACAAAATTTTTCTGGACAGAAAAATGAATCTAAACCAAGTAACTCAAATAATTTTACAAAAGCAAACACACACACCAATCTTTCTTTTGTCCAGATGAGTGATGAATTTCAAATAACCTAATATTCTGATTAAAAAAATTACCATCTATACCCAGTTGGAGTTACAATACAATTAGACAGTTATACTGACAATTTTTTGATATGCAAAAAAACACTTGAATATACTTTAGGACTTCAGAATAATAACTATAAATGTAATTATGTCAATAATAAAAGTTTTGGCTAATTATGGGTTCTCATTGATAGAAAGTCAAACAATCTAGGTTTCACAAAATTTTAACATCATGAATTTGTTGTTGTTTTTAGATGTTATCGCATAGGCTCCAATTCATAGCAACCCTATATGCAAAGAATGAAACATCAGACAATGTTTCACTGCTATCATAAGGTTTTCTGTGGCCAATTTTTTTAGAAGTGGATGGCCCCTCTGTCTTCCTAATATGTGTTAGTCTGTAAAGTCTGCTGAAAATTACCTTCCATGGGTGACCCAGCCAATATTTGAAATGGCATAGCTTCCAGCTTTACAGCAACACACAAGCCACCACAGAATGACAAACTGACAGACGAGTGGTGAATCGTGAATTTAGGCAATAAATATTATTATAAACGCACATATATCTGTACACTGATATTCTTTTAACAATTCAAGATTCTAGCAAGATCATGCTTCTGCTTTTAGATAAATAAGAAATACAGATTACTCAATAATCAAAGTAAATCTATTTTCCTTTAATCTCATTTCATTTTCTGACCCCACCCTGATGTACTGAATGGGTCAGGGCATAAATACAACAGGCTTATTCCTGCCTTTGTGATTATGAAAGCCTTTTTCACCAAGGAAGAAGGCCCTTGTTTCAGTGCTTTGCCTAACTAAAGTCTATCATCCTTCAAGGCCAAGGTTATGTCCTTTTCCCCTACAAAAAGTTTTCTATATTGATCAAGTCCATGATAAGCCACTCTCCACTGAATATCTCTGCAATATGTATTATTTGTGACACTCTTCCCCCACCTGCTACTGGATAAGCTCCTTAGAGAATGATGGTGTTTATTCTTCTTACATCCACTGTCTATGAACATTAAGCACTGAGCACACATCTATTGATTCATGTCTGTACTAACAAGTGAAGTATCAACTCCATTAATTTTATACCTTCCTATTACTTCATTGTCTATGAACATAACCTATTTAATTTTTCCTTAGGCAATAAAGCTAAAGACTGAAATTTATTTTAAATCCACCTCATTTATAGATATATTTTAGCTATCAATATAAGCAATGTAAAACTGTTCAAACACAGTCTTAGTAACAAGCCTAGTATCTCCCCTTTTAATTTACTCTGCAAACAAAATCCAAAACCACATTTACCTCATTTTCTCCAGGCTGAAGACTCCTAAGATCACCCAATTCAGTAACTAATTTTTCTGTCCTATCCTAAGCTATACGGCTTTTTGTGTTTGTATTTCTGAAAATGGCAATCTACAATTTTACCTGAAGACAGCCCCCATTTGAATCATATTAATTTTGCTTTCATCTTAGTTATTTTTTAAAGGTCTATATACTCCCCCACACAAAATTATTTTTTTCTGTAATATTTCCTTAATTTTCAGGAAAAGTGTACATATTAAAATCTAAGCATATGATCCAAACTGTACCAAGATATTTGAAATGATTTTTTTTCCCCAAATTAATCACTGGGGTTTATTGAGTGATTATATGTCACCAAAGGAGCTCTGGTAGCATAGTGCCTAGGCACTTTGCTAACCAGAAAGCTGGTGGTTCAAATCCACTAGACACTCCTCAGAAGGAAGGCTGGGCAATCTACTTCCATAGTGATACTGCCTCAGAAACCCAAGGAAGGGTTGCTACGAGTTGGGTCTGACTCCACAGCACATAACAAAAACAACAACATATGTCACCAAACAGGCAACATCCAAAGCAGAAAAGTGAAAGGTTCTCCTTTAAATGGTTGAAATGCTGGGTTTTTTAAATTTTTTTTAAGGAATTAAAATTTTCCAATAAGAAAGCTATAATGATTGCATCTGAGATATGTCCTATAGAGTTGCTATGAGTTGGGTTTTACAAAGCAGAGATCTTTCTGTAATTGGTTTTGTAAGTATACTTGTTTGCTAGAAATTAGTAGAGACTAGTATGGTGAGTCAGAAAGAACTTTTAACTCTCAAGTTGTACTTTTCAGAAAGTTTTATGGTTAGAATACTTTGAAAATTCCCTATATTGTCTCTCAATCTTCGACCCTGGCATGAATGACCATTTTGATTTCTTTTTTTCAGAATGGTTTTGTGCCTGACAAAAATGGCCATTAATTTTTAGCTAATACATTAATTTATATGTGAAATTTTTTTTATTACTAAAATGTATTCTAAACATTTATGCATATATCTGATGTTTCCTAAGCCACATTATCCCAGGAATAATTCTTCAAATTTGTTGCCATCTATTTGTAGAAATCCCAGATTATTCATCCATTGCTTTTTTCTAAAAAGGAAACTCTACCAAGCTTAATTGCTGTATGGAAAATGAGTTTTCTCTGTAAACCCTCATCCAAATCACAACAAAACTTTAAAAAAAAAAAAAATGAACCTCTACCAAGCTCATCAAATTAGTCATCTTGAAAACCCTTCACATCTCGGAAACACAAACAGATGAAGGGCAAAATGGCAGATTATATGGATGACACCATTAATTCACTATTAACACAAACTTCACTCTTTGCATAGCCAACAATATTACTGCCTATGTTTCTGATTTTAAATGTTGAAGATTCTTATGTCCAGCCACAGGTGTTTTGACCTAATTATTTGCAGAAACTGCTAGTACACATGCACTCTAAATTTTTTATCTTTTAACTTGTACTTAGACTTTTATTACAACCCTACTTAGAACTGAAGTACAGGTCCCTAGTGGCTGAGGAATGGAAAATATTAAGAAACAGAAAAATAAATGTCTTAGAATTACACATATTCTTTAAAACTCAATATTCTGTTCTTGGAAATGATTCTTTTTTTAAGGGAAAACAAAAGGCGAAGGAACCTAAATTTACCATCCATAATTAAGAAGAAAAGCTTTTCTTTCCTTTGTGCTGACTACCTATGGTCCCCAGGGTAGCTTACCAGGCCTTTGTCCTGCAGGCACATCATCAGGGCGCACACATCACCTGTTGCCTGATGATTTACCAGCATCATTGCTTCATCTTCTGAAATTGCTTTAATATCTTCTCCCCATTCCATCACTATAAAAACAAAGTTTCAAAGCTGTCATTTTAAAGATTTTTACATCACTAGAAACCTTGTATTAGACAAAATGGTTTACATAATGATGATACATCATCTAGTTAAAATTTCTGAAAGGCTCAGAACAACGTTTATTTCCTACAAAAATCAGAAAATTGATATAACATTGTATTGAGCCTCCAGATATTCATTAAAATGTAAAACTGTCTTACTTTTTGACCTAGAAATTCTACTAGGAATTTATCCTAGAGAAACATCTGTCCAATAAACAAAGATACATGTACAGAGGATGTTTACCACAATTTATATGTGCAACAACAGATTAGAAAATTATGCTATAATAATATAAATCCATTAAAAGCACTTATTATCTAACCCAGAAAACGACATATTATTAAGTGAACAAAGCAAATCCCAAAACAGTATACACAGTATGATCCATCTTTTAGATGAAGTCATATAATTTATGTTAGTTATACATTGAAAAAAATCTGGAAGAATGAATTCCAAACTATTAATACTGATTATCATTAAGAAGTGGTTCCCAGAGCCATTGAAATTCTATTTTATGATAAAATATTCAAATATTACAAACATATGTAAGCATAGTTAATTTTTAAATTAGAAAACAAAGATGGTCAATAAAAATAAAAACATGTCCAGATGAAAAGTCATTGCACCAAAACATGTATATACAGTCCAGGGAAATTAATGGTGGTTCTATGTATTTTCCTCACTTTTATGGCAAATTTACTTCACAGAAAAAAGCTGAAAGTGAGTTTTCAAATATCAGGATTTGGTAACAAGAAGCTTCTAGGTTCCCCAGTCTCAGCTGAATTATAAATCAGAGACTGATCCTATATAAATCAGTGTTCACTTTTACCCCTCATCTCACTCACTGATATAAAGAAAGAAGTTAAGCCACCTGTGTGGAAGAGTTCTGGATAAAATAGGCATGGGGGGATGGGAGGCCCACTTGCTTCCTCTCATACAGCCACCTTCTTTTCCTTCTCACTCCCCACAGCCACTCCAAGACAGCAGAGCTCCTCATAATATAGGGGAACACCTCATAAGAATTCATTTTAGAAAAGGATTCTGCTGATTTATTTCCTGCTATTAAAACCCATTTAAGCAAGAGAGCTATTAATTCATTTTCAGGATCTTAAATTTTTTAATCAAGAAATTTTCAGCTGAACTTAACATATATTAAGTTGTGATATATATTTGCAAAGTAAGGCATTCCAATTACTGCATCATGTATCACCAGTACTGTACTCAAATGGTTTACAACAAATGTTAAAAGAAAAAAAAAGCACTTTATTATTTTTAAAAGAATGAGACATAGAAACAACACTAAGGGAACTTAAATGTGATGTTTGGTGATTCTAAGGAATAGAGTTTGTTATGGATAGAATTATGTCCCTCCAAAATATGTGTTGTAAATCCTAACTCCTATACCTGTGGTTATAATCCCATGTGGGAATGGGTTTTCTGTGTTATGTTAATGAGGTAGTATTAGTGTAGGATGTATTTTGAGTCAATATCATTAGAGATATGAAAAGAGCAGGTTGAACAAGCAGAGATGGGGGTAGATAGATGCCAAATCACATGAAGGTCACCAAGGAACAAAGAAACAAAGACCTTGCCCCAGAGTCCTCAGAGAGCAAAAGACTTCCCCTAGAACCCAGTGCCCTGAACTGGGTTCTAACATCCTAAACTGTGAGAAAATGTATTTCTGTTTGTTGAAGCCACTCACTTGTAGTATTTCTGTTATAGCAGCACTAGATAACTAAGACAGAAGTAAAACACTGGGAAAGCTCAGCATCTTGAAAAATACAACAGCATAACTTTCCTTCAGAGTGGTCTTCCCATTTGCCCCATGTTCCTAACTTAGTTTAGCTGAAAAATCAACTTTACTGAAACAAAGCTGCTGTTGTTGTTATGTGCCATCGAGTCGGCCCCGACTCATAGCGACCCCTCCTTGGGTTTCCGAGGCAGTATCACTATGGAAGTAGGATTGCCCAACCTTCCTTCCGAGGAGTGGCTGGTGGGTTTGAACTGCCAGCCATCTGGGTAGCAGTCAAGTGCTTTTAGCAACTATGCTACCAGAGCTCCTTCTGATATATCATATATTGCTACAGGGAGTATAAACTGGTACAATATTTTTGAAAGTTAATTTGGCAATACATGTCAAAATTAAGAAATGCACAAACCTTTTTACCCAACAAATTTACTTTTAGGACTTCATCTTATAGATATATTCATTTATGTGCAAAATGACATTTGTATGAGGCGACTCATTGCAGCATTGTTTATAAGAGCAAAGAAGAAAACAACTAAAGGGGGAGCTAGCTAAATAAATTATGATATACCTATGCAGTGGAATATCATGCAACCCTAGAATTTATATCCTAAAATGGAATGATATACTGTAAGGAATAAAAGCAAGTATAGAACAGTGTGAAGAATACTACCAGCTGGGTTTTTTTTTTTTTTTTTTTTAATTCTATTGTGATTTGCGTGAAAGTTTACAGAGCAAATTCATCTTCTATACAGCAGTTCATATACACTTTGTCTCATGACACTGACCGCAATCTCCCACAATGCAACAGCTCTCTTCCCACTTCCTCCTCATAGTTACTTCTTCCCTGTGCCCTTCCCTCCTATGCACTCCTGCCCTCCAAGCTGTCTCCCTGTGCGTATACAGCCCTTCTAGTCTCTCATGATTGATCTCTCCAAGGAGTATATCTACCTAATATAAATGTTCAGATCATATCCCTATCTTTTGTTTGGCTGGAAGCCACAGGAGTGGGTTCAATTCCAGACCTGCAGGGCAGCTAGGGGACATAGTCTCAGGGGTTCCACCAGGCTCTATCAGACCAGCAAACCTGGTTTCCCTTTTTTTTTTTTTTAATGATTTTGAGTTTGTTCCACATTGTTTTCCCACTCTATCCAGGATCTCCTATGTAGATCCCCCTCTGAGTGGTTGACAATGGTAGCAGGGTACCATCTAGTTCTTCTGGTCTCATAATCATATAGGCTGAGGATCACTTGGTGTACCAGTCCCTTGGAATAATTGTTTCCATGTATCTTTGGTTTTCTACATTCTTTCTTCTTTGCTCTGGATGAGGAAAGACCCATCGTTGCATCTAGATGGCTGCCTCTAAGCTTTAAGATCTCAGTTGCTACTCATTCAAGTAGGATGTGGAATAATATTTTGTATAGTATGTTATGCCACTTGAGCTTGATGTCCCTTGTGAACATGGTCACAGCTGGTTTTTTTTTTTTAAATTTTATTTTGATTTGGGTGAACATTTACAGAGTAAATTCACTTTTCATACAGCAGTTCACATATACTTTGTCTCATGTCATTGACCAAAATTTACA